GAAGGAGAAGGAGAAGGAGAAGGAGAAGAAGAAGAAGAAGAAGAAGAAGAAGAAGAAGAAGAAGAAGAAGAAGAAGAAGAAGACCCATGCATCAATCAATCCATCATCAGTCCATGTACCTGCCCAACCATCCATGCATCCATCCATGCCTCCAACCATGCCTCCATCCATCCATTCATGTACCCACCCCACTCTTCATTTACTCATGTTCCTATTCATCTATCCATCTCCTCATCCATGCACCCACCCAATCATCTGTGGTGATATTGTGTTCCCCAAAATATTGTGCACCCTAATAAACTTATCTGGGGTCAAAGACAGAACAGCCACTAGATACAAAGGCTAGAAAATGGTGGCACTCACACCTTTAATCCTAGCACTCCAGAGGCAGAAATCCGTCTGGATCTCTGTGAGTTCAAGGCCACATTGGAAACATCCAGGCATGGTGACTCACGCCTTTAATCCCAGAAAGTGAGCCTTTAATCCCAGGGAGTGATGGCAGAAAGCAGAAAGGTTTATAAGGCGTGAGGACCAGAAACTAGAAGCATTTGGCTGGTTAAGCTTCAGGCTTTCGAGCAGCACAGTTCAGCTGAGATTCATTCTGAATGAGGACACAGAAGCTTCCAGTCTGAAGAATCAGGATGAGCTGAGGAACTGTTGAGGTGAGGAAGCTGTGGCTTGTTCTGCTTCTCTGATCTTCCAGCATTCATCCCAATAACTGGCCTCAGGTTTGATCTTATTAATAAGAACTTTTAAGATTCATGCTACAATCATCTCTCCATTTACCCATGCAACTACTTATCTACCCATCCATGCACCCATCTGTTTACCCACCTGTACATTAATCTACCCACCTACCCATCCCTCCATCCATCTAGGCTTCAAGTTCTCCATCCCAGGCTCCAGGAAAGAGATGATCATGAACCACTGTCAAAACCATCTCTATCTCAGCAATTATTCCTGAATTTCCACCAACTTCCCAGCAAAGAACTGGTCACTGGTACCATTTTACCCAGGAGAAAACTGCACCTAAACATTAAATGACTCGCCTGAAGTCACAAAACCAGTGTCAAAGACCACTTCCACTTCTGCACTCCTTGGGTTGGCTAACACGGTCTTAGGATGTTCTCTCAGGGACCCCAGTTTCCTTGCAAAGTCTCCATGTGATCCCAGCATCCCTAGGCACTCCCGTCTCTCCAGAGGTGGTCACTGCACCCGGTGACACCTTCAAAACACCATTCGGCCACAAGGCACAAACCATACGCCTAGCAGACCTGATATCCTAGTTGGCTCTCTGTCGCTGGGATAAACACCATGGCCCAAAGCAAGCTGGAGGGGGAAGGGTTTCGACTTACGCACCCCTGTTACAATCCATCACTAAAGGAATTCCATGCAGGAATCATGGAGGAATGCTGCTCACTGGCTTTTTTTCAGAGCTCATTCAGCTTTCTTTTTATACAATCCAGGACTACCTGTCCAGGGGTGACACCGTCCACAGTGGACTGGACCTTCCAAGGTCAATCATTAGTCAAGAAAATGCCAGAAAGACTTGCCTACGGTCGGTCAGTCTGAGGAGGAGACTTCTCAATTATGATGCTGTCTTCCCACATAACTTGTGTCAAAATTGGCCCGCCTGGATTCTCCACCTTTGATCTTCCCAGCCCCGCCCCGTCTCTCCCATCCCCACAGTCCCAGCTACCTCGCTACCTCAGCGCACGCACCTCTACCACGAGTCTCGGCAGCCTGTGCCCCCCCCCCCCCATTGTGCTCCATGCGGAATCTGCACATCGCTCTCCTGTGTCCTCAGTGGTGTGAAAAACCGATACAGGGGTTTCATTCCAGCTTCTGGTGAGAGCCCCCGCACCTTAACACCTTCGTGAGTGGGGCAAACCTACAATCGTCTTTATTGCCACATTGGATTTCTGCCCCAGTCTCTACCAAAGCTCCACAGCCACAGAAATGGCAGGAAGGCCGGTCCTATCCGCCCCTTTCACCTGCATTTATGTTAACGAGGTGACTTTTGGAAAGCCCCTCAGGATGAGAGTGGGAAACTGTTACAGATAGAAACTGCAGCCCCAGCTTCCCAGTCTGTCCCTGGTGGAGGACACTGATGGTTAATCCGTGACGTCATCAATCAATCATACAGCGAAGGGCCAACCCACAAGGACTGAGTTCAGGGAGTGTCCGTCGGTGGTGGCCGCAGGCTAGTGTGGCCCAGAAGGGCACAGAAGCAGTTCTTCATCCCACCCCACACCTCGCCTCACACGTCTCTCCCTCTGGCTGGTTTGAATTACACCCTCGTTGGTTTCCTGACACAGCGTCCGTCTGCATAGCCCTGGCGTGTAGACGTGCAGAGCCAGGTTTCTCTCCTTCCGCCACGTGGGTTCCAAGGCTCAAACTCAGGTCCTCGGGCTTGGTAGCAGGGACGGACCAGGACCTTCTCGGCTATCTCGCTAATCCCGAAGCTGTGTTTTGTTCATATTTCTGTGTGTGCACATGTGTCCGTGTGCAGTACACGTGTAGGTCAGAGGCCGACTTTTACCTCCATCCACCGTGTGGGCTTACTTCCTGAGTTAGCTCACGAGACCCTTAAAACATGACGTTATCAATTAAAAGACCGTCCCCCTCATGGCATGACTCAACGTGTGACTGTGAGGCAGGCCATCTCAGCGGCAGAGTCAACAGCTCTGCTGACTTCTATGAGCCGCTGTAGCGGGTCCCCAAACACGAAGGCACCTTACGGGGTCCCCTGATTCACAGCTGTCAGTCAGAAAAGTCAGAGGCCCAGGCTGGTGACTGGCATCTAGAGGAGCCAGGGCCCTCAGCCTCTGTCATCTGGCACTAACTCCGTGCAGATGGTGCGGGAGCTCACTGAATCGTCGGCCTCCCGCCGGTGGCCTGGGGAGCTGGAAGGCTGCCTGGTGTTTGCATACACTGTTTAATTTCCTAAAACTACTTTGCTATTATTTCCATTTTGCAAGCAGGGCAGCCAGAGCATGGAAAGGTTAACATCACAGAGCTGGACTTTGAAGCCAGGCTGCCCAGTACTAGCAGGTGCTTTGAAGGACCTCAACGGTGCCAGGCAGGAAAGGGGGCCGCAGCCTGCTCAACCTCCCAGCCTCCAGGGCTCGCTCCCTCCCCTTCCAGTCACAGTCATGCTGGCCACACTCACAGCCCCAGAAGGGCTACTAACATGATCCCTGGTCATTCCTACACTCCCGCCCCAAGGACACTCTCTTCTCAACCCAGCTGCTCTCCTCAGAAGTAAAGGCACTGGGGGGGAACGTCAGCCAGCACAGATGGGCTCCTGTCCTCCCACCAAGTGGTCCTCATGCTGACCCCATCTCAGTCCATGACCCCCCACCATGGCTCTTTGGCCAAAACTTCAGACTAACCCTCAGCCCCTCTCTTCCAATAGCTGCAGCTACACAGCGAGGTCAAGGCTAGCCCACGTTATATGAAGGGACCCTGTCTCAAAGGGGGGTGGGGGTGGAGAAGACTGGGGTATAGCTCAGCTGGTAGCGTGCTTGCCCAGCATGCCTGGGTTCAACCCCAGCATTGACTAAAATGGCATGGTCATGTATGTCTGTAATGCCAGCATGCAGGTGGATGCAGGAGGATCAGAACCGAGGCCATCCTCCACTACACAGTGAATTCCAGATCAGCCTGGACTGCGGGAGACCCTGTCCCAGACAACAGAAGCAGAGCCCAGCCTTTGCTCATCACTTCTGGCACCATCCCAGGCCAGGGCCTTTCGCTCACGACTGAACTTTAGCAACTGCTCCCCTGCACCCCTCTTCCCCCTCCCCCACCAGCCTGTTCCCTACAGAAAACAAAGGAAAGTCAAGGTTTGGGGTACACCTCCTTAGGCTACAAGAGGTCCTGGGCCCCATCCTCAGCACCACAAGCTGAACAAGAAAGTTAAGTCCGATCAGGTCAGCACTCCGCTCACATCCTCCAGAACCACCAACCCCATGAATAACCACAGAGGTGGCAGGATGGCTCAGCGAGGGGAAGGTGACGGCCACCAAGCCTGACAGCCAGAGTCGGATCCACAGGACAGACATGGTAGAAGGAGAACCAGCTTCCTCAAGTTGTGCCCTGACCTCCGCAGGCCCGCACGTTTCCGACTTCCTCCAGGCTCACTCTGGTTCAGCCCCA